TCTTCTTCTTCTTTTGCTGCATTCTTTATAACTACACTTTATTATTATTTGTTCTGCTTCTTTTTCTGTATTCTTTATAATTACACTTTATTATATTTAATCTCTTTCTTTTTCTTGTTTTGTTTGTGCAGATTCTGTGTGGAGAATTGGCTGCTCTCTACGCGTCGATAGCGCGTCAAATTCCTTACATTAAATTCTCAGTAGAGAGAGACGTACAGGTATATATGAATATAAATAAACAGAATATAAATAAATAAATATATATATATATATATATCTGTATATTTATATATTTATATATTCTATTTATATATACATTATAATGATATAGGTATTACATCTATAGCGCATCGAATCCCTTATATATTAAATTCTCAGTATTATACATACATATATATAAATATAAATATAATATATATATGTTTATAGATATATATATTTGTGTATCTTCTGTTTATTTGTATTATACCGTGTTATATAATATAATATGTGTTATATAATATATACATTATATATATTATATATAATATAATATATATATTATATATCTATATAATATATATATGCATGCATGCACAGGACTGGGCAGTAGAGAAGACGTACGAGCGGGTGTTTCCGTCTTCTACTATTCGCGTTTTTGTGTCGATGTTGCTGATGGATCTCGCGATTGACTCAGGCAGTTCTCAGTAAGTCAAACAATTTAAATAAATAAATATATTTAAATAAACAGACATGCATGCATGCATGCATGCATGCATGCATGCATGCAGGTTTAGTTTTGTATTTGCTGTGGGCGTCTGCACACCGTATATATTGAATATATTTTTTTCTTTGTCTTTTACCTCGCTTCAAAGAGATACACCTTCAGCTGAATCTCCCTCTCATTTCCTTGCTGCTGCTGCGCTGCTGCTGCTGCTGTTGCTGTTGCTGCTGCTGTTGCTCCTGCTGCAGTGGCAGCTACGTGTCTCATCTTATGTCTCGGCTGGCTCTACAACGCGAGCGTAGGGCGTCCACATGCAGAAGCTTAGCGAGGGTTTGCTGCTAAGTAAACCCTAACCTAGGGTTTGCTATTATGTAAACCCTAGCCTAGGGTTTTGCTCTCCTAGCACCACACAATAAAACGACTACACAACTTTGCTGCTCATGCTCATGCTCCTGCTTCTGTTGCTGCTGCTGTTGTTGTTGTTGCTGCTGCTGCTGCTCGGTTTCTTCCTCTCTCTGTTGCTGCTCTTTCTGCTGCTCTTTCTTCTGCTGCTCTTTCTTCTGCTGCCGCTGTTCATGCTGCTACTGCTCTTGCTGCTGCTGCTGCTGCTGCTGCAGGGATGCGCGTAGACTGCATCGATATACTTTCGGCTTTGATGCAGCACTGCCCAGAGGAACTCAGCTTCGAAGCCATTGAAGCTCTGCAGCATGTCAGTGCATGCGCAACCCAAACCCTAAACCCTCACCAAACCCTAAACCCTCACCAAACCCTAAACCCTCACCAAACCCTAAACCCTCGCCAAACCCTAAACCCTCGCCAAACCCTAAACCCTCCATATTAACTAAACTATAGACATTCTGGAAAGTCGAATTTTAAGCATTTGAAATAATCTCTCTCGCACGCATGCAACCGATGAGGCCTTATTCTGTCTCCTAATCTTGTAGGTGTTTTTACATAGGGTTTAGGGTTTAGGGTTTAGGGTTTAGGGTTTAGGGTTGGGTGTTCAGGCCCGCATCTTTCTTCACTACCCGATTCGTCCTTCTGTGATGTACGAGTTGCTGGATCTGACAAACACGCAGTACTTCAAGCGGACTCTCGTAAGCCTCAAGCTAGGGTTTAGGGTTTAGGGTTTGGGGTTTAGGGTTGAGAGTCTAGGGCATGAGGTTTAGGGTTTAGGGTTTTAGGGTTTAGGGTTTAGGGTTTCTTGCTGCATGCGTTCTCAGGAGCTGCTGCTCTCTGAACACGCACAAACTGCTGAAAGGGTTTTGCAAATCGCTCCGGTCCTCTGGTATAATGCCCTCAAGCACGAAGACTGTGAGCTCTACAAACCCTAAACCCTAAACCCTAAACCCTAATTCCCGCCTTTTCCTTCTTGTGGCTTTTGATAATGCACGGCGTTTGCGTGGGCTTCACTTCGTGCAGGACGTTTGGCGTTTAGGGTTTAGGCCGCATCGTTTGGGGTTTAGGGTTTAGGGCGTGGTGCTTATGGTTTATGAATTAGGGTTTAGGGTTTAGGGTTTGGAAATGGTTGCGCTGCAGCTGCGCCTGTCCGAGTGATGGCCGTAGCCACGAGCCGCCGCTTTTACATCGTCGAGAGGCCCACAGGAATGTCCGTGACTTAGGGTTTAGGGTTTAGGGTTTAGGGTTTAGGGTTTAGCTGTTTAGGACTCGCGTGCTACGCTTTGGTTTGGGGTTTCTGCTATGTTGTTTGTTGTTTCTTGTTTTGTGTTTAATTTTTCTTCTGTTTGTTTTGTATATAGTACTTAGGGTTTAGGGTTGAGGGTTTATTATTATTATTTATGTTTGTATGCTTCTTATTTGATTTTTTGTTTTGTTTCTTTTGTTTGTTTCTTGCGTTTGTTTGTTCACATTGACTAACTATCAAAATGAGTTGTACTTTAGTCTTACTTCGCTTTTGCTTGTTGGTATAGATATGCTTGCTTATATACATACATACATACATATATATATATATATATATATATTTATATATGTATATATACATATATATATGCTATAGCATATATATAGGTATATATATATGTATATATATATATACATATATAGATATATTATATATAATATGTGTATTTATTATATAAATGATCATATACACATAATATATTCTTTTATTTGTGTGTTGCAGTGTCTGTGCTTATTCAATGCGTATGCATGCATGGATTGGCGTTTGCTATTTCAATTTTTTTTATTTTGTTTCTTCGTGCATGCAGAAGAGAGCCTTTATTTCCTGAACGAGAATACGTTTATAATAAAGGAGAAGGAATTCGCCTCATAGAAATCAGAGAGTACAGACACCTGACAAGAATTGTAAAGGGATATCCAGCAGACAACTGGCTCGCAGCAGGTTGGCTCCATAAGGTCAGTGCTATTCAGGTGTATAGGCACCTCGTGCATGCAGAAACGCAGTGCTATTCAGGTGTATAGGCACCTCAGGCATGCAGAAACGCAGTGCTATTCAGGTGTATAGGCACCTCATGCATTACTACATATTCACAATGCTAGTTCAGGTGTACAGACACCTCAGTCTTACACACAATTTTAAAAATAATTATTTCTGTATTTCGTAAGCTGAGGAAATATACAATTTGATTTCTATGACTGCGATAGTTGCCTTAATAATTCTATGATTATTTCTACTATTGTTAATCTTTTATTGTAATTAATTATTTTTTATTTCTTGTTTGTCTGCTAAGGAGAACGAAGGGCCCAACGGGGAGACCTTCGATTGTCTCCTCATGGAAGTGCTGAGCCAAACGACAGACTTCATTGTCTGTCTCCGCGCGCTCTCAGGTAGTATTTACTTCGTCTCTTTAGGGTTTAGGGTTTAGGGTTTAGGGTTTAGGGTTTAGGCTTAGACTTCAGGGTTTACGGCATAGGGATCCGGGTGGAAGGTGTAGTGCTCAGGATCTAGGGTTTAGGGTTTAGGGTTTAGGGTGTAGTTAAGGTTTAGGGTTTGCAGGCTAGCCCCCACGTTGCGCAGTTCGTTGCTAAGAGAAATAAATGAATGCAGACCCCATAGAGCGCAGCACTTTGAACGGGATTAGGGTTTAGGGTTTAGGGTTTAGGGTTTAGGGTTTGTGAGTATTCAGGGGAGACGGAGGAGGAGCGAGTAGATGTGCTGAGGGACGTTGTCTCTGCCGAGTGTCTCCTGCAGCATATAAAGCTGCAAATAATACAAGACAGTTTCTTAGCAATAAGGCGAACAGTAAGTATTTTATCTCTGTCTCTTTTGCTGTCTCCTTTCTCTTTGGCTTCAATGTCTCCTTTGCTGTCTCCTTTCTCTTTTGTCTGTCTCTCTCCTTTCTCTTTTGTCTGTCTCTGGGTTTTGTCTGTCTCTCGCCTATCTTTTTTCTCTCTCATCTCTCTCTTTGTTTTTGTTTATCTGTCTCCTTTTTGTCTCCTCTCACTTTTGTCTGTCTCTCTATTTCTTTTGTCTGACATGTCTCCTGTTTCTTCGTCTCTTTGTCTGTTTGTCTTCTACCTCTCTTTCTTTCTGTCTCCTGTCTCTTCGTCTTTTTATCGAATTTACTTTGACCCGCAGACACCTAAAGACGGAGCCCCTATCGACCGTCTAGGCCTTTATATTCTCACCTCTATGTGTAGGTTTAGGGTTTAGGGTTTAGGGTTTAGGGTTTAGGGTTACGCTGTGCCAGTCCCATTGGGGTCTCCATGGGCCTCTGTAGGGCCTCGCTCACCTTCAAGGGTTTCAGCAAGGGTTTAGGGTTTAGGGTTTAGGGTTTAGGGTTTAGGGTTTGCGTTGCGTGTTCAAGACTTGCATGAGTTCTTCATCGACTGGAAGTACTGGTTTGCTTTCGACCCCACCAGCGCAGGTCTGTCTGCTGCAGCTTCTGCTGCTGCTGCTGCTGCTGTTGCTGCTGCTGCTGCTACTGTTGTTATTGTTGCTGCTTGAGGTTCTTCTGCTGCAGCTGTTGTTGCTGCTGCTGCTTCTGCTGCTTGTGCTGCTGCATTATTTGCTGCTGTAGTTCTGTTGCTGCTGGCTTTACTTCCGTATGACCCTTATCTGCATTTATTTTCTTTCTTTTTGTTTTGATTGTTTTATTTATTTATTTATTTATTTTATTTTATTTTATTTATTTATTTATTTAGTTCTTCTTTTTATTTATTTATGTCTTTATGTATTTGCGTATGTATTTCTTTTTAATTTGCTTCTTTCTCTAAACAACTAATTAATCAACTACCCCTCTAATACCCTATTTATTTATTTATTTATTTATTTATTTATTTATTTGTTTGTTTAAACAGAAGAGCAGTGGGGGGTGCAGCTACAATGTCTGCAAGGAGAGACAGATGAATTGAACTGGCGGCTGCCTCAAGGAGGTCTAACAAATTTTTTAGGTTGGGTAGAAGAAGAAGAAGAAGAAGAAGAAAAAGAAAAAGAAACACAAGAAAATGCAGATAAAGATAATATCAAAGACTTTGTCAAAGATAAAGAAGAATACACCTTAAAAGGGATTCGATTAGATGCTATCAATCAAGTAATAATATATATTTGCTATTATTTATTATTTATTATTTATTATTATTATTTATTATTACTATTATTAGTATTATTATATATATAATTATTACTATTTATTGTTTGTTTTTACTATTAGTATTACTATTCTTATTCTTGTTTTTGCTTTTTGTCGTTTTCTCTTTTTTGTTTTTCTTTTCTTTTTACTTTCTTTGATATATATTCTTCGTGTATTGTTTATTGTTTATTGTTTATTGTATATTGTGTATTGCTTATTGGTTGTTGTTTATTGCTTAGTGTTTATTGTTTAGTGTTTAGTGCTTAGTTTTTAGTGTTTAGGGTTTAGGGTTTAGGGTTTAGGGTTTAGGGTTTAGGGTTTAGGGTTTAGGGTTTAGGGTTTGTGGTTTAGGGGGGTCCAGCTTGGTTGTCAAATCTCTTCGGTCGTCAGCGCGGCCGAACGCAGCGCCGATTATCTGCAGCTAAAGAAAATTTGTTTAAACCAAATGAAAAACATAAACTTCAAGATATAAGACAGGTATTTAAATAAAAATATAATTAAATATAATTAAATATAATTAAATATATTTAAATTTAAGTACAAACAAACAAATAAGTAGAATGAGAGAAATAAAGAGAATTTGTTTAAGGCAAATAAAGAAGATAAACTTCAAGATATAAGACAAGTAATTAAATATAATTAAATATAATTAAACAGAATTAAGTAGAATTTAATATATTTAAACATGCATTCTTATTTCTTTTTGTTTGCTTTATTTCATTGTTTCTTCTGTCTCGCTTCTATATAATATATATATAATATATATATTATATATATATAATATATATATTATTCTCCTTTGCTTGTTTTGTTTCTTTTTTGTTTGTTTCTTCAATCTCTTTTCTGTGTATTTACAAATATATATATATATATATATATGTACTTGTATTTTATTTATATCTTTGTTTGTTTTTTCTTCTGTCTGTGTTTATATTTTATTGTTTTGTTTTATTTAGGTAGCGTTCAGCGGCGGGGAGGCGTGTTGGGTGGAGATAACATGCAGACAGCCTCGAGAGACACGAGAAGATAAGCGAGACAATAAAGAGAATAAACAAAAGAAAGATAATAAACAAAATAAACAAACAGCCCCTATCATCAATTTGCTGCTGCTCGATGATAGCAGCAGAGAGCGCTTCAGAAGAAATCTAGCACAAGGATTAAACAAAACAGAAGAAAGCATGTACGTTAGTATTTAATTATTAATAATATTATTAATATAATTAATATAAATTAATATACATTAATATAGTTAATATAATTAATATAGTTAAAATAAATTAATTATATATTTATTAGTGTTGATATAATTAATATAAATAAATATAATTAATATAATTAATATAAGTAATATAATTAAAATAAATTAATTATATATTTATTAGTGCTGTTATAAAAGAGACAAACACAACCGATAAAAACATTTATACAGAAAAAGAAATGTTAAGTTATTATTTAATTAGTAATATTATAATTAATATAATTAAAATAAATTAATTAATATTATTGCTGTTATTATTAAACAGACAAGTACGAGAAATAGAAACATTTATACTTGTTTGCTTGCTGTTCTTGCGTGGGGTGTATGTATGTGTTGGTTGTCTACATATTATATATATTATATATATATTTCTTGTCTGTTTGCTTGCATTACTATAGATTATATTAGCAGATCTCTATTTATTTATTTATTTATTTATTTTGTTTTTGTTATTAAAGGAGTTGGAGGAGGATCTGGAGGTCTACGAATGCAAATTAAACAAAACGCATTTCAGGTGTATAGGCACCTCAATGAAGTCGTAGAGGTGCGCATACACCCCAGTAACTGTCTGTCTCCTGCTGCACTGTTCTGCTGCAGCAGCAGCAACAACAGCAGCAGCAAAAGCTACCGCAGCAGCAGCATCTGCAGCAGTAACTGCAGCAACTACCGCCGCACCTGCCGCCGCAGCAGCCACAGCAGCAGCCACAGCAGCAGCAGCAGGAGCAGCAAAGTAAATAGTTAAGGGTAGAAGCGTCTGGGTCTTGCTTTTGCTCGTCTCTCCCTGAGGTTTGGTGGAGGGAGATCGACAAAGAAGTCGTTCCCGATACACCTGGCGGGCTTTGCTTCATCTTTTGTTTGTTCTGTTGAAAATATTTGAGGCTTTAAGAGAAAACCCAATTCGTTAGACAGACCTATCTTTACTGCATGCTGAAGAGACAGAGACGGAGACAGAAGAAATAGATTTAATAAATCTAAAGCAGACAGAAGAGACGGAACACGGCTAGGGTTTAAGGGTTTAGGGTTTAGGGTTTAGGGCTTAGGGTTTAGGGTTTAGGGTTTAGGGTTTAGGGTTTACATTCCATAAGAGACGCCTCTGTCTCCTTGACTGCTGCATTTGCTGCCACAGATATTTTTGTCTTTCAACTCCAACAGGCTGAGCGGGTCTAAGCTCCCCCGGTCTGCGCAGATAAACCCTAAACCCTCGCTAAACCCTAAAGCATAAACCCTCGCCAAACCCCAAACCTTCGCTAAACCCTAAACCCTCGCTAAACCCTAATCCTTCAGCGCTTCCAGCGTGTAGTGGAGTTAATTGTTTCGGGTGTATATTTAGGGTTTAGTGTGTGCGGTGGTCTGTGAAGGGTTTAATTAGGGTTTAGGGTTTAGGGTTTAGGGTTTGGGGTACCTGTCTACGAATTCAATGTACGCCATGGGCGCAGCATCTCTCAGCCTCAACATAAATTGATTAACGACACGAGTAAAGAAGAAGTTGCGGTGTCTGTACACCCCAACATACTCTTCAAATAGTCGTCTCCTTGCTGCAGGGGTCCTTAGCACCGACTCTACAGCCAGCGCCTTCTCCGGGCCTGCAAACCCTCAGCCCTAAACCCTAAACCCTAATTAAACCCTTCATAAACCCTAAACCCTATAATAAAGCAAACAATAAACCCTCCACAAACCCTAAAACCATCAAATCAATCTACAAAACCCCGAAAATAAAACAGCCCCTCCTAATTCCAAACATGATCAGGGTTTAGGGTTTAGGGTTTAGGGTTTAGGGTTTGGGTTACGCTTTGCAAGCTGAATGAGCTCCTCTGCATACGGCTGCAACTCCTTAGCACGCGTTATTGTGGTCTCCAGGCGACCATACCGCAGCAGCTGATCCAGCTGATTCCTAAACCCCAACAAACCCTAAACCCTAGACCTCAAACCCTAAACCCTAAACCCTAAACCCTCGCTGGCGGACCCACAGCAACAGAAGGCGATAGACAACAGACAAAGTATAAACCATCTATCCATTCGCACACTGCTAAGTATGGCTATACCCTAAACCCTAACTAAACCCTAAACCCTAACTAAGCCCTAAATCCTGATCCCTGGTCCCTAAACCCTAATGCCTAAACCCTTTGCAAACCCTAAACCCTAAGCCATAAACCCTAAACCCTAACCCTAAACCCTAATCAATAAACCCTAAACCCTAAGCCTAAACCCTCGTTCACCTGATTGCATCCCAGCGGTGTTGCGGCTGTTTCTTCGTGCGTCTCCACGTCCTTCGTTTAATACCCAAATTCAAAAGCTTAAAAGTGCTGCCAAACCCCATTGCTGCTGCTGCTGCTGTTGCTGCTGCTGCTGCTGTTGCTGCTGCTGCTGTTGCTGCTGCTGCTGCTGTTGCTGCTGCTGCTGTTGCTGCTGCTGCTGGATTGAACGCTGCTACTGCAAGGTATGCTCCTGCTTCTTTAATATAAGCTGCTTCTGCTGCCGCAGTGAGTGCTGCTGCTGCTGCTGCACTGAGTGATGCTACTGCTGCTGCACTCAATGCTGCTGCTGCTGCTGCGACTCAGAAGGGCTGCTGCTCCTGCGAGCCTAACCGGGTGCGGTGTCTTCGAGTTGTTGCTGCTGCTGTAGTCAGCAGTCTTCGCTGTGCTGTTGCTGCTGTTGATCCAGCTGCTGCTGCTGCTCCGCCTGCTGCTGCTTCGCCCGCTGCAGTTGCAGCGGTTTGTTGCTGCTGCTGCCGCAACTGCGGCTGCTGCTACACTTCTGGCTGGCGCTGTTCCTGTTGTTTCCTCTGTTATCCTTGCTGCTGCTGCTGCTGCTTTGGTTGCTGCAGCAGCAGCTAAAATATGTGCTGCATGTTAATGCATGTTGCTACTGAAGCGCAGCAGCAGCTGCAGCAGGTAGGCGAGGGGTCTGTGGAAGGCTGAGGTGTATATACACCCCAGTACTTGGCTTTCTTTGCTGTTATAAATGCAAATATAATATTAAAATAAAATAAAATGCTAGAAGAAAGAAATATCTCCTTAGAAGGCAAATATATACTTCAGATGCATCTGCGGTGTATGTGCAGACACACAAACGGAGCGCTGTATTTAAACAAATTTTTATGTTTTATTTTATTTTATTTTTTATATTTATTTAGTATTAATTACATCGCCGCATTATAAAGACACTGGCAGGCAGCAAACAACTCCGCTGCATGCAACTTCCATAGGGCCTAAGGTTTAGGGTTTAGGGTTTAGGGTTTAGGGTTTAGGGTTTAGAGCAAACTGCTACACACAAAAGACATTTGTTATTTTGACTTCTTTTCACCTCTTTGTTTAGTGTTTTTGTTTTTACTCAAAAGTAAACAAATGCAGCCGCTCTAACTCCTATGTGTGCCGACTAAGGTTTAGGGTTTAGGGTTTAGGGTTTAGGGGCCACACCCTACTATTGTTGCAACAATGAGGGCTTCTACTGCCTGCCGTTGGATTTCATCGGGGGTCAGCAGCTGCAGTCGCAGCTTCCGCTGCAGCAGCAGCAGCAGCAGCAGCAGCAGCAGCAGCAGCAGCACGACATATCTCAGCAGCCGCTTGCCAGTATCTGTCTATGTTAAACACACCCGAAGCAGAACCAGCAGCAGCAGCAGCTGCAGCTGCAACAGCAGCTGCTGCAGCAGCAGTTGCAGCAACAGCAGCAGCAATTTATTTTTCCTGCGGCATCACAGCACGGCGCGAGAAGCAGCTGACACCGCAGCCGCGCAACCGTCAACACCAGCAGCAGCAGCATCAGCAGAACCTGCAGCAGCAGCAGCAGCAGCAGAACCTGCAGCAGGAGCAGCAGCAGCCGGCACAGCAGCAGAGGCTGCCCCTCCCCGTATGCCCCTTCCGGGTTGGTTGCTGCTTGGCTGCAGCAGCTGTCTCCTCATCGGTGGTTTGTGCAGCTGCTTGTGGCTTTGGATTGATACTCCAGAGCCTTTCCTTGTCGCTTGGGACGCAGTCAGGTCAGTCTAGGGTTTAGGGTTTAGGGTTTAGGGTTGAGGGTTTAGGGTTGAGGGTTTAGGGTTTAGGGTTTAGGGTTTAGGGTTTAGGGGGTGAGGGTGCGCTTGTGGCAGCAGGATGTCTGCAGTTTCGTAGCCGTCACCCTTAGCTGCACATCCAAAGGGTTTAGGGTTTAGGGTTTAGGGTTTAGGGTTTAGGGTTTAGGGTTTATTGCAGGAAAGACCCCCGGGTGTTGGCTGCGTTGGGCGGAGAAGTGAAGAAAAGGAAGTGGTGGGGCGGCTTCGTGCATGCAAATGATGCGCGTATTAAACTCTCCCTCTATGGTAAACCCTAAACCCTAAACCCTAAACCCTAAACCCTAAACCTTAAGCTGCAGGCGCAAGCCCTAAACCCTAGTTGCAAACCCTAATCCCTTAAAAGAACCGCAAGCATATATCTTGCTGTTTGTTTTCGTTGCCGTGTAACTCCTCAAGGTTTAGGGTTTAGGGTTTAGGGTTTAGGGTTTGAGGTGTACGTACACCTCAGGGCCCGAAGGAAAGCGCGGCCACGCGACTTGTGATTTGATGAAAGATTCGAGCGGCCAGTGGAAGGTGATGCTGCTCAGCTTCGTGCCTCTCGACGAAGCCCCCCCTAAAGGTCTGCTGCTGCTGCTGCTGCTGCTGCTGTTGCTGTTGCTGCTGCTGCTGCGGCGAATTCGACTGGAGGCGAAGGAGCTGCAGCAGCAGCAGCAGCAGCAGTTGCACGTTTAGTGACCGTTTGCTGCTGCTGTTCCGGCTTTATGCTGCACTTGCAAGTTTTGGTGTATCTGCAGATCTGCTGCTAACCCTGCTGTTGCTGCTGTTGCTGCTGCTGCTGCTGCTGCTGCTGGGGTGTATGCTCAGGGAACAGGAATGCTATGTCAGGGGTGATGATGCTGGTGCCTGAGCAGCTACCAGCGGCGCAGCAGCGCGCCAACTTTATGAGAGGTAAAGGGAGATGCAGCAGCTTAGGGTTTAGGGTTTAGGGTTTAGGGTTTAGGGTTTAGGGTTTAGGGTTTAGGGTTTAAGTCTGCTGTGCCGGCTTTGCTCAGGTTGTCTCGATTCCTGTCCAGCAGAACAAAGACAAATCCCACAACAAGACACTGCAGCAGAGCCCCAGAAGATTCAGCAGCAGCAGCAGCAGCAGGAGCAGCAGCAAAAGCAATAGTAGCATTGACAACAATAGCAGGAGGTTTCAGCAGCAACCACTGCAGCAACAGCGGCAGGAGCGACAACATCAGTAGGTTGTTGCTGCTGATGCTGCTGTTGCTGCAGCTGCTGCTGTTGCTGTTGCTGCAGCGCAGCGTTTGTTTGTGTAATATTAATATTTATTTTGTTTGCATTTGCATTTGTTATGTTGCTGAGGTGTACAGACACCTCAATCCCTGCATTCTTCTTTTTGTGTTTTTGTTTGTTTTTCTTTGTTCTTCTTGCTCCTCATCAAAGCGGCATTTGAAGCAGAAGAAGAAAATAAACAAATACAAGAAACACTCATTTATAAACAGCAACAATATTAAGTTTTCTGAGGTGTACATACACCTCAAAGGGCCCCTATACCCATGGGTAGTCCGCTACTCTGCTGCTGCTGCCGCTGCTGCTGCTGCTGCTGTCGTTGCTGCTGCTGCTGCTGCTTCTGTCGTTGCTACTGCTGCTGCTGCTGCTGTCATCGCTGCTGCTTTAATGAGTGCGAGCCGCATAAAGTCAGATGAATAAATAAGGGTTTGCATCTGGAGACAGTTTGCGGTGTACATGCAGCTCAAATAAACGTCTTATTATGCATCAACACTCAGCAGCAGCAGACGCGCAGCACTGCAGCGTTCACTGTTGCTGCTGTTGCTGCTGCTCCTGCTGCAGCAGCAGCAGCCTTTGCACCTGCCCCGTTCCCTGCTGTTCCTGCTGCTGCTGCTGCTTCCCCTCCTGCTGCTGCTGCTGCTGCTGCTGCTGCTCGTATCTAGCTTTAGCAGCAAGAAGGGTTTCTGTGTGCTCAGCGTTTAGCAATCCCTCTGCTTTGCTGCTGCCTACGAAGCGCCACAAACCCCCGAAAGAAGCGGGCAGACGATAATCTAAATCTTGAGAAAACTGCAGCACCT